GAGATGAAGAGGTCAATGTCGGTGGAGGGCTGGAGTTCTCCTTCTGGTGCCTGGAATGGGTATTAATGGGAGGGTAGGGATTTTTAAGTGGTCTCTGCTAGCTCGCTACTTTAAAAAGGCAGAAATCCCGAAAAAAACGGAAAATCTGACGTTTTACGGCCGAGTGGGTTTTGGTGTATTGGTAACATTCTTGCTTGCCAGAAATAGGGACCAGGTTCGAGTCCCGCCCATTCAAAAATTTTTGCTTTTTGGACCTGGACTTCGGAAAGGCTTCGCAAATGATGTTTGCTAGCCTAAAGTCGACGCAGCCTCAAAAAGGGCAAACAACTGGCTTTCTAGTGACCAAAATACTTTGGTGTATTGGTAGAGTTTTTGCTTTCGAGGAAAAGGGCCCGGGTTCGAGCCCAGCGTGTGACAACTTTTTGCTTTTTGGCCAGAACATTCAGAAAATGATTTTCTACATGTGTGGTGTATTGGCAACGTTCTCGTTTTTCAGGAATTGGGTCCGGGTTCGAATCCCGCAAACGGCAAATTTTTGCTTTTGGCAAGCACTCTCAAAAAACCACATTTTTCTATATTTTGCCCCAACTACCGTACCTTAACCCTGGCGACGGCCTCTTGCGCCTGTGCCATTCGCGCCGTCTTTGTCGATCTTCCCTCGCACACCAGCTGTGTCGACCCAAGGTATCGAGCTCGGAATAGGACGCCCTCGATCAGAACTGCTGGCTCGTGTACAAGGGCTGGAATAACATCCAATATAATGGCATACAAGGCGATATTAACGGATACCATCACGTATTACTGGGAGTGTACGCGGCCGTACACTTTACACTCTAGAAAACATGCATTTTTAGAAAAAAAAGCGATTTTCTAGACAATGTCTGGGCCACAGCCTAAGCCAAGCCTAAGCCTAGTCCTAAGCCTAAGCCTAGTCCTAAGCCTAAGCCAAGCCCAAGCCTAAGCCTAAGCCTAAGCCTAAGCCTAAGCCTAAGCCTAGCCTGCCTGAGCCTAAGCCTAAGCCTAAGGCTAACCTACCCAGTTAGCCATGCAATTATAATTATTTCTTGGACAGCCTTGGCATGCTTTTAAAGGACCATTGAAGTAGGAGGGGAAATCGTTGTTTGTAGTCTGGAGCTTGTAGCTGGTTGGCTCCAGGTAAACCCAGGATCTGGAGGTTACAGACTACAAAACAATTCTATATACTAAAAAAAATGGGTGGCTACAAGCTACAAATAATTCCCACAAACAAAAAATTGACCTACACACCCTAGAGCCTAGACTACAAACCGATTCGATAGACTACAAAGTGCAAACCAGGCCAGAGACTACAATTTTGAACAAAAGATGAGTTATAGACTACAAACTACAGGCTACAGACTACAAACTACAACGTTCGTCCTCCTCTTCACCATAGGTTAGCATCTCTCTCTCATCAGGGCCATACCGTAGTACTCACCGGGAAATTTTGTGCAAAACGGGGGAAAGGGTGTGCCACAGCGGGGATGGGAGAGATTGGATAAAAGTTGCATGAAAGGGACAGGGAACCGACGATATGGGAAAACTACTGTGCAATACGGTACGTTGCGCTACGCTACGCTACGACAAGTTACGCTACGCAACGTAACGGAACGCAGCCGTAACATACGTTACGCTATGATGCTCCGACCCGAAGCACCGTGACGCAACGGTACACTACGCTACGTTACGCTACGTACGTGACGCGAGGGAGCGCTACGAGGCACTACGCAGCGCTACGTAAAACCACGGAACGGAAGGCTACTCTACGCTACGCAGGGCTACGCAAGGCGCCTATCCACAAAAAGTGCAATTTGCAAGGATGAGGAGTGGTACTCACTTTCTTTCGACGATTTATGGGAGGCTCGTCGGTCTTTGGCGGGTGAGACGTCCTTTTCGACGAGTAGTCTGGAAAAAGGTGGGTTTAACGGGCTTTTGAAGGCAAAAATATTTGGCTGAGAGAGAGCGAGAGTGAGAGAGTGAGAAAGATACCTATCGGTTTCCTGTTCATCCCTCTCCGGTCCTTGCTCATTTGTGGGTGATTGTTGATGATGCTCATTTGGCCATTCCCCAGATACTGTAGATGGTGTTGTTGTTGTAGTTTGTTCTTGATCTCTTTGCAGTCGTCTCAAATAGCTATCCCTCATCACCCAAACGGGCTCATCGCCTTCTGGGCCTCCATTTTCTGAGGAGTGCGAGGTCTTAAAGAAAAAATACGTCATTTTAGAGGTTTTGCAGAGTTGTAGTTTGTAGTCTAACCAAACTACCGTACCCTTTTCTTGACGGGATTCGCGGCCTGAGGCGGAGGTTCGATCAATCCACCCGGTTGTCCCATGCTCAACCTCGCCTGGGCGATACTGGCAATGGAAGGCGTCTAAAACGGCCATAAATTAGAATTTACCATGGATTTCGATTTCTCCGATCTGTGGCAAAAATCTATCGTATATTATTTGCCTTCATGGCCCTTTAAGCTCATCTAAAGCCAAAATTTTATCTAAACCTGAATCCATCGAATTCTTACCCTTTAAGTGGCCTTAAAACTGACTAAAATCTATTTTTCTGCCTTCTTTCGACCTTTAGATCGATCCAAATTAAAATCTATGCCTTCAACGGTCCTTTAAAAGCAAAAAGAAAGAATGAATCTACCGTATTTTTGCCTTCAATGGCCCTTTAAGATACACGAAAAACCACGCTCACCTCAACAACAGCCGGATGATGTCCATTTTGGGATTGTTGAGGGATCGGGGCAGCCATTGGAGGCTAAAAATAAAAAATTAGCAAGATTCCTCGATCTGTCACCGCCCTTTGAAAATACCGTACCTGGGCGAATGGTGGAATGCTGGCGATGGCATACGGTAGATTTGGTTGGGCAGGTATAAAGGCGGCTGGCTGGGCGAAGGGATTGCTGCCCGCCTGCAAAGGGATACTGTAGATTCCTAAAGAACCTCTGCTAGCCTGCCCTTCGATTCCTCAAAGAATCTCTGCTAGCCTGCCCTCCGATTCCTCAAAGAATCTCTGCTAGCCTGCCCTCCGATTCCTCAAAGAATCTCTGCTAGCCTGCCCTCCGATTCCTCAAAGAATCTCTGCCAGCCTGCCCTCCGATTCCTCAAAGAATCTCTGCTAGCCTGCCCTCCGATTCCTCAAAGAATCTCTGCTAGCCTGCCGTCCGATTCCTCAAAGAATCTCTGCTAGCCTGCCCTCCGATTCCTCAAAGAATCTCTGCTAGCCTGCTCTCCATTTCCACAAAGAATCTCGGCTACATACCTGATGGAAAAAGTCGGGTTCCACCGTATTTTGTAGTTGTTGTTGCACGGAATTGGGCGGAAGTCCGGCCCCTTCCGGTGGCAGATTAAAGGAAGATCGCAGCTGGTTGAGCGTCTGTTTTCCGGGTTGTTCCGTTTGTTCCGGTTGGCCGGAACTGAAGGGGAGGGCAGCCTGAAAATAGGAGATTTGGAAAAGTACGAAATACATCTATATGGACATCCACCAAGCGATTACGACATGGAATTGACGACGAAGAATTGGAGGAAAAGAAACAAAGCATCGAAAGTTGAGGAAGCCTAGCGGAGATCGTTAGAAAAAAGAAGAAGAAAATATCTTGACATTCCAACATTCAGATTTTAAAATTTTCGACATTTTCGTGATTGTGGCTTTGCGAGTTCGCCATTTTCGAGATTTGGAGATTTTCGGCATTTTTACGTCGATATTTCAGCATTTCAAAAGAAGCCAGATAGCAAAGTTTCTTTAGGAAATGCTAGCTGGTTTTTTAAGTTTTCCGAAAGACTACAAACTCCACGATACAAACAACACGGGACAACACGATATAGGGGATGCATTTTAGCGTGGTGGATGCACTACTGATAAGTATATAGTACGCGACACTACAGTACATTACAGTGCTACCGTACAGCACCGTACTACAGTGCTACAGTATATGTATATGGGGGGATGCGCTTCGGGACCTGGGCTACAGCGGCAGGCAGATGGCCCATCAGCTCGGCCAGTTCGGCGTCGTCCATCTGGGCGCGGATACGGTATTTGGGGCGGATTTTAGGGAATTAAAGCTGGCTTATCGGCTTAAATCGAAACCTAAGCTTGAGCTCAGCCTAAGCTTAAGCTATCGAACCCAAAACCATTGAAAAATCCAAAACCCAATCTGGTGCATTGGTAAAGCTCTCACTTTTGGCCCACAGCACCCGGGTTCGACCCCCGCCCGCGGCAAGACTTTTTGCTTTTTGACCAGTTTAACCCAGAAGAAGCTCTCTATAGAATAAAAACATTTGAATGATTGAGAATGATATCATTTGGCATGAATCACCTTCAAAATAGAAAATGTGGTCAAAAACCTAAACTGAAATTCTGGATTTTCGGAAATTTTCGATTATATATTTTAATACCTGTTTGATATTCTTATTCTGTGTCCGCCGGGTGATTTCCTTCTCAATTTCGGACATTTGTTTTTGGATGAGGGAGGCTGTGCGGCTTTCCTTGTCGCCGGGTTGGGGGCCAGTTTCGGTGGATGACTTCCGGGGGCCATCTAAATCGATAGAATATAGTGAAAAAATCCCAAATAAATAGAGAAAATTAAATAACAACAATTCGTACTAATAAAATCAACTAATAAAATTAATAGAAATTAGATAAAAACTTACTGGTCGCTTCCGAAGAGGAATTTTCAGCGCTTTTCGACGAAGCCACCGATTCGGTATCGTCATTTGGGGTATTTTCTTTGTTCGAGGTTGATGCTCGAGTTTCGGAGGTGGATTCGCCTGGAAAATAGGGTTTTAGACGTTTCTCTCTCTCTCTCTCTCACTCTCTCTCAGTCTCCCTCTCTTCTCTGTCTCTCTCTCTCTAGAAAATTCCCTGGAAAGATACTTTTCGAGGCAGATTTCATCCTTCCCAACCTCTTTAAAATTGTCCCATCTCCCGAAATTTCCACACAACTCCTATAGACGTTTTGCTGAGTCAAAAACCCCCCCCTCACATTTCATCACCACCACTTTTAGACACTCGGCCCGGCCAGCTGTCTCTCCCCCTACCTCCCAAAATTGGGGGTATTGGCATCGAGGCGAGAGAGCGAGAGAGAGAGAGACAGAGAGAAAGGGTGAGAGCGCGAGAGTGTCCAGATGTTCCCCTTGAAAACTCATTTAACCATGGGTTCTCCAATGTTGACACACATGGCAACATGTCAAGATCAGGAAATCCATCGAATCTGGGCTTCTATGGCCCTTTAAAACGCATATCATTGAAATAGCGCCTGCCGACTGGACGGAGGTCCGCACATTTTTGGGGCTCCCCGGCTCTCGAGACCATATGATGCCTGTAGCCGATTGGTATGCAACCGCGCCCACTGATCCAACCCTCGAGAGTTCGATTCCTCCCGCCGCCAAACTTTTTGCTTTTTGGTCCCCCGTATGTTTGGAACATCCCCCCCCCCCCCATTGAATATCGGAGCGTGTTTGTATGCCCTCAGGCAACGTCGATAGCCATGGAAGGGCCACCCCCCTAGGGCCCAAAAGAGGACCGATTTTCATTAGTCCCGGGAGGGGGGATGGGGGAGTGAGAGAAGAGGAGAGCGATCCCTGAGACCCAAGGGGAGCATGATGCCCTCACTGCAATTTCACGATAGAAAGGAGGAGCGGCAGCGAGATCGAATCTACACTTTAGAGAGTCTAGACCCACTCGGGCAAACAAAATACGGGAGATATACGCGGGAAAGGGTTCCAAAATTATCTCTGCTAGATGCCCACCATTTCCTCAAAAAATCTCTGCTAGCCTGCCCGCTCGATAAATACGTACCTTTTAGAGCTCTCCCTTTTTCTCAATGCGCCCCCCGTTTAAGGGGCCCTTGACTGATGTGGAAATTCCTCTCGGGACCCCAAAGAAAATCCCCGAAAAACTCCCAGGGCTCCCCTCCGTCGATTTCGAATTCATCGAAATCCCAGGGCCCCGCTACGTCTTTTAAATGGTCTTCGAAGAATCCAGGAGGGGCAAAAGCCCTCATTAAAAATGAGTGACAGCTTCGGCAGTTTTTGGGTGTTATCAGTAGTGTGGCGGGATGGATTTTTGACAGGTTGACGGAACGGTTTCAAATCAAAGTCTAAGGCAAATTAGCAGAGATTCTTTGAGGAATCGGAGGGTAGGCTAGCAGAGATTCTTTGAGGAATCGGAGGGCAGGCTAGCAGAGATTCTTTGAGGAATCGGAGGTCAAATATCAAAAGCTCGTGGAGAAAAATCCCAAAAATGGCAAAAGAACGCTTGTTCGACATACCATTGCAGGTGATCAGTTCATCTTTCGTCGGTTTCGGACTCAAGTTCCGGTCCGAGATCTGAAAAAAGCATTTGATGCAAATTGCAAAGAAAGAAACTGACGTCAATCTGGCCAATAGCTGCTCCCAACGATTCGTCGGCTTTGATGGAGCTCGCCTGGAAGGAAACGGCGTAATTCTTGCCTTCAAAATTCTTAAAGGTTGTGATTTCCTAAAAGGTCTCTGCTAGCCTGCCCTCCGAATCCGCAGAAATCAATGCTAGCCTACCCCTGTCGCCATCCCTATAAAAGCCCAAAATTCCTACCTGACTCTCCGGTCTTGCAAATTGTTGCTGCATGGGGAATGGCATGTTGAAGGCGGCTGAAGCCATCATTTGCTGAAAAGGGTAGATCGTCCATTGGTAAATCGCCAGATTTCCAGGCAGAGGGTGAAGGTTCGAATCCGGAGCAGATTTTTAGCGATTTTTCGCGATTCGGTTAATTTTTAAAAGTTTTTTCAAGGCCAGAAACGTAACTGAGAAGTAATATGAGATTATTAAGAGAGAGAGAGGGAGGGAAAGAGAGAGAGAGAGAGAAGAGAGAGAGAGAGAGCAATACCTGAAAATACTGCTGCATCATCTCCTGATATTGTGCCGGCGTCACAAAGAATCCCATCTGGCCATTATTACCTGCCATCGGCGGTTGTTGGCCTAAAATTGGATTTTAAAGGCCCATGGAACCCAGGAACTCACCAAAATTTGGGGGCATAGCCGGTGCTTGGCCTTCTGGAGCTCCCTGGGGCATAAATGGAGACATGAAGGGATTGCCGTAGAATGGGGGCATCGCAAATGGCATTGCTGGAAAAATTATTTTTTTAAGGTTTACAAATCCCTAAAAAATCTCTGCTAGCCTACCCTCTGATTCCTCAAATAATCTCTGTTATCCTGCCCTCCGATTCCTCAAAGAATCTCTGCTAGCCTGCCCTCCGATTCCTCAAAGAATCTCTGCTAGCCTGCCCTCCGATTCCTCAAAGAATCCCAGCTAGCTGGCCCTCCGAATTTCTCAAGAAACTCTGCTAGCCTGCCCTCCGATCCCTCAAAGCATCTCTGCTAGCCTGCCCTCCGATTGCTCAAATAATCTCTGCTAGCCTGCCCTCCGATCCCACAATGATTCTCACCCTGTTGCTGCATATTCTGCATCGGATCAGGCGTAGACGACGTAGTGTTTGTCATAACGGTAGGTGAAGATGATGTCTGTGGATGGGATTGTCGCGTAGTCGTTCCAATAATATTAGCCGAAGGGGTATCATCGACTCCAATAATTGGCTCTGTCATCATGGCCCTCCCTTCTGCCCGAAACAACAGACGGCCCCCGACGAGTTCGGCGAGTACACACGGATTCTGGAACCGATCGTCGCGTTATAAAACAGTAAGCTACGTTATTAAATGATAAAAAGCATGGAAAGCATAGAAAACAGCGCAATTTACATAGTAAATTTCGGAATTGAATTTATAACCAGAAAAAGAGTTTTTCTACCATTTTAAAACGTAGAATTGTCCGCGATATTAGCTTTACAGTGCTAGGTGGAAATCTCCATCTTAAGGTATTTTTTGACGCGTAATAAAACGTTTACAACTTTTAAAGTATACTTTTTTGACGCATTGAGGAAATCGATAAACTCCGAATGAAAAGATTAACCTATTTTAAAGGGGTACAAAATAGATAATTTATATAATTTTAAAACTTATTAAACGAGTGTAACTTTCATAGTATACTTTCCAGCACATTAATGATAAAAAGACCAGTGAAAATATGAGTTTAACAAAAAAATTAAGTAGAGCTTACAAATTTACCCGATTTTTTAGCCTATTAAATGCGCATAACTTTTAATCTATCCTTTTTAATCAATTAACCTTGTGAACCCGATAAAGCCCGGTGTAATGAGTAGCGTATCGGAAAAAGCTGAGGGGAATGGAGGAGGTTTTGGGATGAGACTCGATAATGAGAACGAGCAGAAAGGGAAGAGAAAGAGAAAAGGGAGGGGGAGGGCCTCTGCTGATCGATAAGCCTTTCTCTCTTTTTCTCTCTCTCCTGTTGTCTCTCCCTTTCTCTAGCCCCTCCACCCCTCTCTCACTCTCTCGCTGGTCTTGATGCCCGGGGGGCACGGTTTAGGGAGCGGCACTTTGCAGGGGTTTCACGAGCCTAAGAGAGCCATTTCTGGATGAATTCGAACGCTTTGTCGATTAAAAAATATAGACGCTGAAGATAAAGGTGTTTTCTAACGAGTCGCCAAAAAGCAAAAAACTTCGCACGGTCCGGGGATCGAACCCGGACCTTGCAGACCAAAAGCGAGAACTTTTCCGATTAGCTAAGGATAATCATCGACCGAAATCGCCAAAAATTTAATTTTTTCGCGAGGGTTCTAGCCTGGCTACTGCAAAAATTTTTCGTTTTGCCTAAAAAGCCAAAAAAACTGGATTAAGCATAGGAAAATGGCCCGGGTTCGATCTTAGTCTAGGCCAAAGTTTTGATTTATCCTTGCTTTGTTAAAAATTTGGATAATCCTTAGGCAATAAAATTCCAAATCTGCGCGCGGTGAGTCGTACAGTAATCGATATGTACAGTTCGCGCCCGGGCATGTGAATCATTTTTCGGCAGTGGAAGGGGAGTGGCTACTTGTTTGCCGGTTTTCTCTCTCTCACTCTCTCTCTCTCTCTCTCTCTCTCTCTCTCACTCTTACCCCAAAAACGGGACAACACTTGACAAATAATTGGTTACATAGAACTGGACTCTAAAATTCGTGTCTCTCTATTACTCCCTCTCTCGCTCTCTCTCCCACTCGCTCTCTCTCGCACACTCTCTCGCCTTCTATCTCTCTTTTTCTCGTTCAGACTGTCTCTCTCTCTATTTATGTCTGTCTCTCTGTGTCTCTCTCTCACTCCTCTCCTCTCCACTCCTCTCTCTCTCTCTCTCTCTCTCTCTCTCTCTCTCTCTGTCTTTCTCCCTTCCAAGCTTTCGAAGAGCCCAAAGTGATATTTTTATTCAATCCCAATGTTGTCGAGTTCAAAAATCATTAATATTTATTATTAAAAATTGCATAATTTCTCTGCTTCTCAGTGTCTCTCCCTCACTCCATCAGGCCATTTTATGCCCAACTTTCTTCAAAAAGTGCCTGGCCACCTCGAGAGGGAATGGCAGCACTACGGTGTTGTTTCGCTGGGCGGCCACTCGGTTTAGTGTCTAAATGGGGTTACGTTCGGGTGGAGAAATTGCTGTCACTGTCCCTTTAAAACGGACTTTGAAATTTGACCCACCTGTAGATATCGCAACTGCATGGCAACCTTATTACTGCAGATCGTATCAGCTGCGTGCTTTAGGTTTCTGGAAATTGATTTACATAGGTTTTTTTTGTATTTTCAAGTAAAATATAATTTATGTATTTTTAGCTGCGGTTTGTAGCTTACCGGCTAGCGTCCCTCTCTCCGTCTGCGGCAATCACCCTAGCCCGCGCGTCGCGTGCAGCCTGAAATCGGAAAACTGGGGCATGCTAGCAAAGCTCTTTGAGGAATCGGAGGGCAGGCTAGCAGAGATTCTTTGAGGAATCGGAGGGCAGGCTAGCAGAGATTCTTTGAGGAGTTGAGCAAAGGCTAGCAGAGTTGGGTTAGACACATTTTTTGGGGAATTTCCGATTTAGCAGAGATTCACAATGATTCACGACTGTTGTGCGAAAATTTGTGGCTTCAAGGCTCCTTTAAAATATGGATCAAAGTAGAATTTTTACTTTCAAGCCCGTTTAAACGTTAAATTTGTTTGTATTTCCGGTACTTTCTTCTATTTTTTCTGCGCATAAAGTGCAACTCGAAAAAAGAAAGAAACCTCAGCCTCGGCAGCCATACTCTTCATTAGCATGTGGGGTAATCGGATATCCTTGATCTCGACACGCTCTACCTGAAAAAGAAAAAGGAATACTGACGCAACTACGTAGCGAGATCCCAAGCGGAAAAAGACACAAAAATCCAACCAGAAGCACCAAAATAGGACCAAAACACCAAAATACTGACATACCTTGACACCCCACGGATCTGTGCCCTCATCCAGCACTTTTTCGGTAATCTGAAATTAGCATAAATTTCGTAAAACTTGAAATATGATACACTTAAATATCTGCATTTTTACAATCCAAGCGGCTTTAAAGGACAATTAAGGCCAATTTAACTCTTTGACAATTTTCCAGAAGTTTCGGAAATCGATACCTAACGCTGTGCCAAAAAGCAAAAAATTTCACACCGGCCGGGATTCGAACCCTCGACCTCTGGAATGATAGGCGCGAGCCCGATCCAATAGGCCACGAGCGTAAAAAGAATTTTCAAGATATATTTATGAATTCGAGCTATCGCCATCCCTTTAAACTCACACTAGCAATGGAGTCGCGCTCAGATAACATTTCAGAGAGGGTCTTCGTTCCTAACACATTTCTCAACGTCGTTTGGGCGAGGAGACGAGTCGAGAATTGGGCATCGTTTACGTTTGTCACCGATATTACGGGGTTTGATACCTGAAAAACGAATCTATGGTTGATATTTGGGTTCGGCGGTCCTTTAAAGGGTTATGGAAGGTAAAATCTCGCTCGCGCTCTCCGCTCCGTCTCCTCTCTCTCTTTCTCCTTCTCTCTCTTTCTCTCTCTCTCTCTCTCTCTCTCTCTCTCTCTGTCTAACCCTCTTCTCTTTCTCCCTCTCCCGCACCCTCTCTCCCTTTCTCGATGCTGTCTTTCCATCCAAAAAGTCATAAAAGTCCAAAAAAGTCCATAAAAGGGTCAGAAAAATCGAGGGCGAGAGAAAGACAGAGAGAGAGAGAGAGAGAGAGAGAGAGAGAGAGAGAGAGAAAGAGAAAGATAAAGAGAGAGAGAGCGAGAAAGAGAGAGAAAGAGAGAGAAAGATAGAGAGAGAGGGAGAGAGAGAGAGAGAGAGAGAGAGAGAGAGAGAGAGAGAGAGAGAGAGAAAGAAAGATAAAGAGAGAGAGAGCGAGAGAGATCGAGAGAGCGGTATCAGAAAGTGTTTAAGAGCTTCATAAAACCCACCCTAAAATATATGACCGCCTCGACGGATACGGTAACAGAGTCACGGGATAGAATTTCTTGCGCAGGCACATCAAATGAAAGCACTCGAAGATCGACCTGAAATTTTTGATTCCTCAAGAATCCCTGCTAGCATGCCCTCATTTTCATGCCGTAATCGTAGTCTTCTACCGTACTTACCACTTTGCATGTGTCGATGCAGGGAAAGACGAAAAATAGACCAGGACCCCGGGTACCGCCGTGAATGAGACGACCGAGGCGGAAGACGACAACCCGTTGGTATTCTCTGGAAAGGGGAGGAATTGGCAAATGGTGATTGCTAGCTAGCCGAGTCTTGATTCCACCAAAATTTCCCCAACATTCCAGCTCAACTCAACTCATTCAATGACGTAAATTGCATCTGCTAGATGCCCAGGCCACCTTTAGTTGACCAATTTCCGTCAATGATCACTGCTCGCTTGCCCCAGAACCGAAAATACACAAATTCTCTCTACTAGTCTCCGCTCATCCCAAATGGTCTCTGCTAGTTTGTCTGCGCGCGCTAGTTCCTCAAGAATTGCTGCTAGCCTGCCTAGTCAGTAATTGATAAATTTATCGAAGAACTCTGCTGGCTTGCCCATTCGGCAAAAATCCAAAAAAATCCAAAACTCACTTAGCGACCTTGACGCAAAAGAAGAGACACCATGGAAATGTGAGGATGAAGAGGATGGCCGAGAAGGCGAGCATACAATGCGAGATCAGAGGGGGTGGCTCCTGAAAATGAATTAAACTTAAATCGATACCCACATATTAATGGTGACAAACTGACGGACAAATTTACGCATTAATGAGACGTGAGCGATACATTACCGTACAATTTATGCAGTACGCCTTCAAAATCACAAAAAGTAGCATGGCGTCAATAGTACCAACGCGTACATCTTTAGCGTTCAATTACGCGATGAAATACGATTCCAGCAGCGCAATAGTATGGTAGCGTAGTCGGAAATAATTGGATACGAGATGAAATTCCGTCACGCTCCGATGGCGTCCCTAGGATCGTCCAGTACGAGATGATACGGTACTGGCCAGAATACACTTGCGTGGCGGCGGTACGGTGGATTACGCAACGGTGTTTAGAGTACATTATGGAACCCCCGCTACGGGAAATCACGGTAC